AAATGATTGCAACATCATTTATAAACATTTTGCAGAGTTTCATTGACAATTAACTCTTAGTTATCTGAATCCTTACAACTTACAAGAAACATAGATAAGGACATCAAAGGCAAACAGGTAAATGTCATATTAATTATTGCAACATTAACAATCATTAATATAAATTAAAAATAACAGGGGACTTAATTTTCTTCCTTTGATGTGGTTAATTTCTTCTGATCAGAACAGCGATTCTTTTGTGCCAACTCGACACATTACATACAGAATAGAGAGAGTAATTACATCAAAATCGCTGTCTGGCGAACAAAGATAGGAGTCTCTATAGAAGACTCATTGAAAGATGAGAGTCCCACTACATATGTTATTTAATTTTAATATCTCTGACCTGATACTTAGGTAATCTACATGCTACTCCAATGCATGCTTTATAGCATAGATATAAAAAACCACCTTTATACCAATACTTTTTATTTTTTTTTTATCGAATGGTTTTGATCAATAGAATCAAGTGCATTTTAAAGAAATACAATTAATTTTTAATTGTACATATGGCGGGTTGTACAATAGGCAGTTAAAATGTAGACTTAGTTTAAACTGTGAACCTTGTTGTATACTTATCGGTTATTGTTACACATAGTTTTAAAAATGACATTTGTTTTTGAATATAACTAGTTAAAAATAAAACTCTTGTTAGTTAAAATATGTTTAGAATATTTTTTGTACATACATAATGTATTTTGTAATAATTAAAAATCATAATATTCTTGTAAGGAAGTTGGAAAGCTTAGGGTTTGATCAGTCGCTGTTGAGATTATTTTCATCTTACCTAAATCATCGTTTTAATTATGTCTTTTACAACGGATTTTCATCTTCACCCCTCACAGCAACATCTGGAGTTCCACAGAGCTCCAATCTGGGGCCACTATTATTTAGTATATTTATAAATGACTTGGCAATAAATTTAACCTGCTGTTCGCTGTTACTTTTTACAGACCCAACTTGGGAATCGTTGAAAATTGGTGTAATGAAAACAAGCTGTTTATGAATGTGTCTAAATGTAAAGTATGTTCCTATACTAGAAGTAATAACAAGGTGGAGTTTGATTATTTATTTAACAGCCTACCTTTTTTGGATTTGTGGCACAAATTGAAGATTAAGGTATATTATTCAACCAAAAAGTTACTTTTTCGGATTATATTGAAAATACCGTTGCTTCCGAGGTTGCTTCTGCGTTGAAAAGCTTAGGGTTCTTAATTCCGTAATACTCGTTCTTTAACAAATTCTTAAAGCTTGGAGATCCTTACTTTTCTTTAGTTCGTTCCAGGCCAGAATATGCATCTCTTGTCTGGAACCTTATTTACAATATGTTTAACATTTATTTCATGTATTTTGTTCTGTAAATGGATTAATTTGTTGGGCAATAAAATTATTTTTATTTTATTAAACAAAAAAATGTTTATTTTGATGCACCTACCACCTTTAAAAGTTTGTCAGTATATTAACAAGAAATCCTATATAATTCCCAAAGAAAAATATTTTTAGAATAAATTCCGAATTCTATTTATTGATATTCGTTATTTTTTAGGTTCAGTGACTCGAAACATGATGATCAGCTACACCAAGAATATCCTTGATACTTTAAAAAAATGGTACGAGATTAAGCAGATTTGATGCTATGTCACATTGTGGTGCGAAGACGTGGCTTGTATAAATTTGGGGTATCAGTTGATAGAAAACAGTACGCAAAAATAAATTTAAATCTGCAGATGCATCAGAGATAGCCATATTCCATACCACAATATGTCATGCGTGAACTCGATGAGATTTCATCGGCTAAGTATCATTCCTCTGTAATGTTTTGTATCATTAGGAACACGCAACATTGTAAACAATTATGACCAGGGTTTTTTGACCTTTTCCCTAGGTCAGAGAGAATAAATGAATACTAAATAATGTATAGTAATAAAGATTGAAAATATATATACTTTTAAGAGTTTTATTATGTCAGCCATAGTTTTATACCAAAAATGAAAATAAACTGAAATTATACATTAAAAATACATTCATAAATAACTATATTTATAACACTCATCGACTCTCTCCTGGCTAAAATATGACTTATCTATCTATTAGGCTCTGTTCCGTCTATTTTTTGCCTTTAGCCTCCTTCTGACACTTCCATTCGATCTTATTCAGTGTAGTATTCACATAGTTTTCAGAATATCAAGTGTTATACCTATCTGATGCTTGGTCCTGCAAACGTCATCTTCAGTACACCTGCTTATGTGACATCTATCTCGATGTCAAGTTTGATTGAACACCCGTTTCTTGCCTATTACTCTTATACTTAACCAGAACTAGCTTAGACTTGAACGCATATGTCTAATTCGGTCAAAAAACAGCCTTGGTACACAAATATCTATTTTACCACTGGTTTCATTACAAAAAACTGGAGTAAAGGGTAAAATTATCTCTTGTCCAGTACACTCGTATAATACACTTGAGTATTAGCCTATATTATTTTTGATTGAAGACGTATACATTTAAAAATGTTTACTTAAAAATAAACATTTAATTTTGATATTTTATTTAACTCGATCAAAACATTAAATTATTATTTTCCATGGCTTATACCGGACCTGTATGTACTCTAGTAGCCATGGAGTAGCTGACAGTGTTGCCGTCAGTTGCCGCCACATATTCATTAGTGACATACGTTTTATAAATTCATCGTGTTAGAAATTTGTTGACAAAAAGAGATAGAAATTTAAAGTGACGTCTTTTATTACTTCGAATGAAAAAAATCGATAATGCAATTTTCTAACCTAAACAAAATCGTGATGATATGTCAAACAAAATTGAACTTGGCCTTAATATCTTGTGTTTTGTCACATCAGTGTTGCCAACCGGAAGAAAATTTCCCGTTTCGCGGGAATTTTTAACACAAAAGGGAAAAAGGGAAAAAGTTAACTCAAAACGGGATTTTTTTACTTCAATCCAAATTGTTAAAAATGTATAATTTTAAAAATAAATTAAATTAAATTTTTTAATTCTTTGACGCATTTTTAAAGTACTGTTAAAAGATTTATGTGTTTTGGTTATCCTTTTTATGTTGTTTTCATTTATCTTTGCGAGAAAACACTTGTTTCTAAAGAAATGTGTAATAAAATTAAAAGTCCTTTTAATATAATATAAATCGAAAATTCTTAAAATATGTAATTATTTTTTGTCCTAAAAGCTTTGAAAATATACACTTTGCAAATACTTAGGTCAAACTTAATGTCTTTTTAATTGTTACTTAATTTTTTTTGGAATCCTTAATTTTATTTACCTTTTTTTATGTAATTTAATTTAAATATGGGGGTTTTATTACTTTTTAATCATGAATACACCAAATACTGAACAAATCTTATAATTATAAAATAATAAACGTCTTTTACTTTTATATCAAATAATACATTGCTATTATTTACCCTAACTAAATGTAGTAAATAAATCACATGATAGCATTTGCGCGTGGACTATAACAGTGATTTCAGATAATTTGCCAAGCTATTTATGAGAAAATAAGCAGATTCTCTCAGCGTATTAAGTTTTGTATTGATAATATTAATGCTGTGAAAAAGATCTAGGGTGAGATTACAGAACGTCTGCAACTTTGCAGATCTGTAAATATGGCGGTAACTTTGAAAATCTGCAAATATGACTGACTTACATATGCAAGTATCAAGTTTTCGTATTCCAAATTTGGGTTTAGTGTTGTTGGGGGTAATAAACCACAATAAATATTGCGAATTTGCAGATATTTTTTAGAATACTTGCATTTGTAAGTCCGCCATATTTGCAGATACGCAAAGTTGCAGATCTGCAAAGTTGCAGACGTTCTGCAATCTCACCCCTAGTCGATATGAAAGGCAGTTAGTGTCGCTTCTCCATAATCGGTATTCTCGGGGTAAACTGCCTAAAACTTTCAAAATAAAAATTACCAATAAAATTTTGCCTGCTGCGGTTACATAAGTTTCGGTTGTTCCGGTGTCAACCTTCGAATCTTTGACGTCGCTCAGACATTGATCTCTTTTCCAGGTAAACTTATAAAATCTGTATTAAGCTAGTTTGGGCCAAAAATACAACAATTAGGAAGGATAAAATGTTCAGCTTAGGTACCACGAATAAATTACCATATTGATAAGATGAATTAAATAATAAATACGGGAATCCGCAACAAATACCGTCAGTCTTTAAAAAATAATAGCTTCAGAAGCTTATCGTAATTAGTACGCTTAACCTTTTTTTGTGTTCACTCGACAGAAATTAAAATCTATTACTCCGAACTGGCAAATATGCACGTTACATGTATATAATGTGACGCGGAGCCGTCTGTACTTTGTTTACTCCTTGTCCGCGGTATGAAGTCTAGCGCTAGCCATATAGAGACAAACGCACCGCTTCTCGAAACTGCTAAAATGATCGCGGTGCGGCGTATGAACCTTAAAATGAGACTTTCCGAAGCTTCTAGGGCACTTAGAGTGTTCTGGTACAGAACTGGCTTTATATAAATAGCCGCGACTTTGTCGATAGAAAAGAAGATTGAATTTAGGTGTTGGACAATAAAGACAAATTGTAATAAATAAATTAGAATTGTGAGTTATATAGTGCCTAAGTTTTATATAAATTAATTAGTACGTTATAAATAAATTGTAAATAAAGTGTTTTAAATAATTAAACTATAAATAAATTAAACAAACGTTAGAATAAGTATTACTTATTTTTATTGAAATGCCTTTCTTTGATAATGTATTTAACTCGTCAACTAATTTTGAAATCATTTATTTTTTCTCTAAATTCCTTTAGATCAAAATAGCATTCCAATAAAAATATTGGCCACTCGTGATTGTACTGATGGTGACAAGGATTTCCTATTTCATAGCCATATCATAATACAAAAAGAGTGGTACAACAATATCACTACCCTTGAAATTTAAAATTTAGTTTTTATTTACCCATTGGAAATATTGCGATTGTCGATTATCGAAATGTTCTAACCATCCACCAAGATTTTTGCAAGTAGCTGGTGCTAGTTTTCGCCAAGAAGCTGGAAGCTGTCCGTTGAACAAAGAATATGCCACGTTGTCGAGGATACTGTCCATACCTATTTCGCCGCTCAACGCTTTACCCAACTGGACAAGAGTTCGACGCATTGCAAACAGTAGCTTATTGAATCTGAAATTTTTTATAATATTTCGAAATTTATTTAACATTCAATATTAAAAAATAAACCAGTCTTTGTACATTTCAGTGCTATTATTATTTCATTACTTGTAAATGATTAAAATTCAACCTCAGCGTCTTTTACCCAAAAGTTGTTCCATTGAAGAAGTGCTACCTGCTTACTTAAGAAGCACTTACCATTTGTTCCGTAGATTTACAATAAGTTAAATTATTTAAGCTTTTTCGCTCGGTCCCTTTTACATTATATCGATATAACTAATTTAAATAGCTCAATTTTGCTAACAGTAACTGATATTAAACATGGCCGAATCTAAAAAGAAATCTAGATGGTGTAGTGTTGATTATTTAAAAGTTGGTTCATTCCTTTCTTATCAGACAAGCAATTTCCTCAGTGCCTTTTATGCAACAAAATATTCAGCAATGACGCTTTGAAACCATCTAAACTGGAGGAAAATTTAAAAAGATGTCACCCTGATAAAATTGGTAAAGATTTGGAATACGTTCAAACACTCAAAGATAAAGTTCAGAAGAGACCTACAATGAACAAAATGTTCGCTTTAACGTCACAAAGAGATGATGATGGTTTGTGAGCGTCTTACAATATCTTGCTACTTATAGTAAAATTGAAGGAAAGTTAATATTGCTAGTCGTTAAAGAAATTTAAAAAAATGTATTACACAAACTTGCATCTGATATAATTGAAATAATTCCTTGAATGTTTTCATAGACATAGAACGTGCTTCTGATAAAACCACCTTCCCAAAGATAATACACTCACAAACCAACAGGAATGTTCCACAAATGGTTAGTGGGTGGATACATAACATGCTCTTAAAGCGAGCAGTAAACATAAGTGTAGAAGATGTGAATATAAGAGGCTTGGTTGCGAGAGGATGTCCACAGGGAGGAGTGCTATCAACCTTTACCGTGGAATATGGTCCTCGACACCCTCATCAGCCGCCTCAATAATGACAGTTACTACACAATAGCATATGCAGATTACCTGGTCATTCTGCAAACAGGAAATTTTGAGAACATAGTCTGCGAAAGAATGCAAGTAGCTCTCAAAATTACAGAACAGTGGTGCAAGCACTATCTAATGTCTATCAATCTTAAGAAGACAGAAATGGACCTTTTCACAAGGAAAAGGATGAAAATAGAATTAAAACCTCCAGAACTCCTAAACACAAAACTAAACTTTGCAACAGAGGTGAAGTACCTAGGTCTCACCTTTGACAGCAAGTTAACATGGAACTCGCATTTAGAAAACACATTCAAAAGAGCATACATTGTTTATGAACAATGCCGTCGAATCGTGGGGTGCACCTAGGGGTTTCTCCCCAGAGTCGTCGCATGAACTTACGCGGCTATCATAAGACCTATGCTAACATACGGTGCAATTGTCTGGGTACCGAAACCCCAAAAATGAACAGCTGTCCGTAAATTAGAACAAATTCAAAGAACAACAGGTATCAACATAACAGAAGCCATGAAAACAACACCGACCAGAGCCATGAAAGTTATTCTTAGTCTTACTCCCCTTGATATTTACATCAAGGAGGTTGATCCGACAACAATGACACGCCTCCCCACGGTTGGAATAGAACCTGATGTAGGATCTGGTGGGGCGAGACGTCGCTTTTGGCAGGAGAACATCTACTCCATCTCACCGAGATATATCTTCCATAAGCCATATAAAGTTATAATAGAACAAATAGAAGAGCCGGAAGTGGCAGATACGATTCATATCTACTCCTACGGTTCTAAAACAAAACAAGGCTTAGGATGTAGAATATACTCCAGATTCTTAAACTTTAACATAAAATGGGCTATGAGCAATAGTGCCAGTGTAGTTTAAACAGAGCTAACATAGATTCTCATAGCAGCAAACAATACCACTGGAAGGAACATGCTTATCTATACAGATAGCAGACAAGCACTACTCACCCTGAACAGACCACGAATTTACTCTACTCAGGGTTAGTACTAGAATGTCACGAAGCTTTGGCCAAAGTATCCATCAACAAAATGGATCAAAGGTCACGCCACATCAAAAGGTAACCGTCTTTCTGATTCACTAGTCAAGAAAGCAGCTAATCAAATACTTTTTGGACCTGGCCCTTCTATTAGCCTGACAAAATTGGTAGTGACAGACCCTTAGATAAAAGAGACCAGAGATATAACATACATCGGTGTTTAACCTGCGCAAATGTTGCCAATTTCTAAAGAAAGGTTAACGGAGTGGGGGAACTAGGCAGAGACCCTAACTCTGTGACAGGGACCGGACTTTGTTTATTAGCATAATATTGAACTATTAGATTTATTTAAAATATATGTTCAATGGAATTTTGTATTATGAAATAAAATTGACGTGATTTTTTAATATCAAACAGATGCCACGACATTTTATGAAAAGAGAAGACCTTTTATAGAATATTCCGTTAGCGTTTATTTACTACGGACTTTTCAGCAAAAGACTACGAATACTGCAAATCAAACGTTGTGAGTTAAACTTTATATTTTTTCTACGGCTATTACATAATATTAAAAATTAGTCAATGTGAGAAATTGCTGTTTTGTATTGTAACCTCAGAAAAAGGTGTATTAAAGCTTCTTTTTTTTAGGAATATTAATATTTGGTGGCTAGGGGTGGGTGATTATCGAAATAAATTATCGATCATTGAAAATAATCTATTATTTTCGATCAATCGATTATTTTCAAACATTCTATTTTTTTATCGCATTTCCTTTAAAATCGACTACTTGATTATCTTTGAAAAATCAAAAATAATCGATTAATTAAAAAGCCAATTAACCGATAAATCAGTGTTTTCAAAAAATAATAAAAGAATTATCGTTTATTTTAAATAATCGATTATTTTCAAATAATCCATTTTGTTTTTTGTCAGTTGAAACAGATTATTCGATAATCTTTGAAAAATTAAAAATATTCAATTAATCAAAAATAATCAATCTATTAATTAAAAAGTCGATTAACTGATAAATCGATTTTTAAAAGCGAATTAACGATTATTTTAAATAATCGATATTTTCGATCAATCGATTATTATCAATCATTTATTTTTATTGTATTTCCTTTAAAATCGATAATTCGATTATCTTTTAAATACCGAAAATAATGGATTATTCCAAAATAATCGCTTAATCGAGAATAACCAATTAATTAAGAAGCAGTTTCTACGATAAATCTATTTTCCAAAAAATAACCGAATTATCGATAATTTTCTAATAATCCTTTTCATATTTCCTTTAAAAATTGATTATTTTATTATCTTTGAAAATCTAAAATAATCGATAAATCTAAAATAATTGATTATAAAAAGCTGATTAACCGATAAATCAATAATTCTAAAAAATAACTGAAATATCGGTTACATAAAATAATCGATTATATTCGATCAATCGATTATTTTCATCGATTAAAAAAACGATTAAAAAAACGATTAAAACGATAAATCGATTTTTCCAAAAAATTTATTATTTTCAATTAATCGACTACTTTGAATAAATCTACTTTCTTTTTGTATTTCCTTTAAAATCGAATATTACTAATTATTAAAAAACAAAAATAAATTATTCAAAATAACGGATAAATCGATTTTCATAAAAAAATAGAATAATCGATAAATCGATTATTTTTGTAACCCCTATCGGTCGCTAGCTTTTATCCGAGCATTTAGCTCCAGAATTTAGAGATTCGGATTTTTTGATCTCGTTATCTTTGAAACCGCATTCGATTGTATAATAAATAATAAATATTGCTAGAATTTGGATTTAGTAAATGAAAATTTTATTCGAGTTGTTTAGGGGTTTATAATGTAACATTTTATTAATAATGTGACTAACTCCCGTAACTTTAGCATTTTTTGCTTATACTAGATCATATTGTGCGTTTTACTTTGTTTTAAGACTTAAGATTCAAATGTCACTTTCGATTTGACCGCAAATAAGATGAACCTTGAAATTTTAAGTAGGTCATCCTGTATATCATCTATTATTCTTCTAAAAATACCTTTTAAAAATAAAATTTAGCTAGCAACTATGCTTCTTTACTTCTTATTTATGGCGCTTTATGCCAAAACGTCAATAAATATTTACCGCTGAAAACGAATATATTTTTTATCTTTCATAACATTGGTACTTGTATTATAAGTATATACAATTTTTCAAGATACATCGTGGCATTTTGAACTTAAAATTGAATAACTAAAACACTTTAAATTGCTAAAACACCAACAAATAAATCAAAAAAACAGCTGTCAGTGGTGATTAAACTCAGGCGGAGGTGAGCGTTGAATGGAAAATCGGAGCAATTCGGGTGGCGTCGTGCGAACAATGATTTTTAATTGGTGGGTTACTTGGGGTTAAAATAGACTACATGCGCAGTGTGCAATGTTCAGAGGGGGGAAACTGGTATGCGCAGGCCTGGGATAGAGCAAAAATCAACCACGTCCGCAAGGTGGCGCTGCAGTCGGGTGGTAGGGTGGGTGGTGAGAGTGTAACGGACAGGTGAACATTGATTTTTGTGGGGGGTGTCATGGCGTCTTGGCTTAAACCAAATGAGAATGTTGTTTATTTATATTGTGGTTGTATTCAGTTGTGTTTTCATTTCCAATTTGCTTAATTGATTTAGTTGACCACTGTTAATAAGCTTGTTTTTCCATTATAAATTTGTGCTTTTTGAGCTGTTATCTTGTGCTTTTTCCGCTGTTATTTTGTGCTTTTCCATAAAGATTCGTAATTATAGAAAATGTTGTGTACCAAATTGCCTTGATGTGGACAACAAGATGCATCGTCTGCCCCACCCTACGAATTCACCCGATTTATTTGATATTTGGGCACTTGCTGTTCGTTGTCCAAGATTTAATAATAAAACAAGACTACAAATTTATTCCACCTTTGTAGTATGTCATAAACATTTTGAAGAGAAGTATAAAGTAGTTGGCTCTCGTCGAGGTCTAACACCTGAA